ACTCATCTATTCTAGCCTGCCAGTCCCCTGCATCGAGCCGGGAAAGGCCTTCTTTGGCCGTTCTTACAAATCTCTCTGCAAGGCCATTCGAAGCCGGGTGAAAAGGAGCGGATAATGCATGCCTTATGCCTAACTCAGCTAGGTAGCCCTCAAATTGAGTTGCCGTGAATTGGGGCCCATTGTCGGATACCAGGGTGTCCGGCAACCCGTGTGTTACAAACAGTTTTCTGAGTACTTTGATTATGGCCTCAGAAGTGGTAGATGGCATTAAGGCAATCTCGAGCCACTTAGAATATGCATCTACAATGATTAAAAAGTTCTGGCCGTGGAATGGTCCAGCAAAATCGATGTGAATCCTCCCCCATGGTCCCTTTGGTTTTTCCTATTCCCGAACGGGAGCTATAGGAGGATCTGGGCGGGATTCCTGGCAGAGCCTGCACTTCCCCACCCACTCAGTGACGTCTTGGTCGAGATGTGGCCACCAAACATAGCTACGAGCTAGGCCTTTCATGCGAACAATACCAGGGTGTCCCTCATGCAGCATTTCTAGAACCCTGTGCCTTAACTGCGAAGGAATGACCACCCTGTCATCCCACAATAAGCAACCCCCCAACATGGATAGTTCATTTTTCTTGTTAAAGTACAATTGAAAATCCCCACTGTCCACCTTGGTAGGCCAACCCCGCATTACCCAGCCCATTACAGTGCGCAAAACAGAGTCTCTGGCAGAAGCCTTTGCCACCTCGCTTGAAGAAATGGGGCCCGGGAATACAATGTCAATGAGTAAAACTGGGGCTTCCGGGGTCGGGTTGTCCAACAGTTCGGGCAAGGGGCACCGGCTGAGGGCGTCAGCATGTCCCAGAGTTCTGCCCGGCCGGTGGAGCAATCTGTAGGAATAGGCGGCTAAGAAAATGGACCATCTGGTCATCCGGGGAGAAAGAGCAGCCGGGGTTGGTTTATCTCCAGCCAAAAGTCCCAAAAGAGGCTGGTGGTCCGTAATGAGTTCAAAAGTACGGCCAAACAAGTACTCGTGAAATTTTTTGACCCCAGCTACAGCCGCTAATGCCTCCCTGTCTAGCTGACTATAGTTTCTTTCAGCACTAGATAAAGTGCGAGAGTAATAGGCAATGGGCGCCTCTAACCCGTTCAGCAGTCTATGGCTTAAGACTGCGCCTACGCCAAAGGGGGAAGCGTCACACACCAACACTAGAGGTAGTTCAGAATTGTATTGGATGAGGAAACTGTCCTCAGACAAAAGTTTTTTAACTGCGTTGAATGCAGCCGCTTCTCGTTTGCCCCATACCCAGGGAACGTTTTTTCCGAGGAGCCTGTGCAGTGGCTCCGCAATAGTGCTTTGTGTTTTAAAAACATGGTGTAGAAGTTAAGAAGCCCCAAGAAGACCTGTAGTTTGGGCTTCGATTTAGGGGTGGGCGCGTTCTGGATGGCCCTGACTTTGCTTTCTGTAGGGTCAATGCCTGTGCCATCGATTCGGTAACCTAAAAATTCCACTGATGGAACCGCTATTTTGCATTTTGCTCATTTGAGTTTGAGCCCCGCTTCTCTGAATCTGGTTAGGACTTGTCTAACTCTCTGTCCTAACTGAGTCTCGTCTTGGCCACTAATTAGAACGTCGTCGAAATAAGGGACGACACCTGGGAGGCCTTGTAGAAGGCGCTCCATGGTACTCTGGAAGAGCCCTGGGGCGATGCTAACCCCAAACTGTAGTCTGGTGCATTTAAAGGCACCTCTGTGAGTTACTATGGTCTGTGATTCTGCCATAGCGTCATCTACTGGCAGCTGCTGGTACGCCTGCGCAAGGTCTAGTTTTGCGAATAGCTTGCCAGGCCCCAGGGAGTGTAGTAGATGGTGGACAATCGGAACGGGATAGGCGCTCTGTTGCAATGCCTTATTGATCGAACACTTATAGTCAGCACAAATTCTAATTGACCCGTCTGATTTAACTGGCGTGACTATTGGGGTTTCCCACTTAGTGTGATCAACGGGAATTAACACCCCTTGCTTAATGAGCTTGTCGAGCTCTGCATCAATTTTGGGCTTTAAAGCAAATGGAACCCGTCTTGCTTTCAGCCTGATTGGCGCTACGTTGGGGTCTAAATTAAAAGAGATCGGGGTCCCCACGTATCCCCTAGAGTCTCTTCGACAATGTCCTGAAACTCATGAAGAATGGTTTCTTTGAGGGATGGCCCGCCGATGCTGTGAACGTCCGTGAAGCCCATGCCGAGGGCTCGAAACCATGCCATGCCCAGGAGACTTGGTAGCGGCTTGCTTACGATGGTCAGGGGCAGCTCTTTCTGGAAATCGCCGTAGGTGACCCGGAACATGCCCACGCCTTCAACGGGAACTCGGTTTCCCTGGTAGTTGAGGAGGCGAACTTTCTGTCGGGACAGCTGGGCTTTCTGGAACTTAGGCAGGAGCGCTTTGAGTGTTGTCCAGGACATGATCGATAGTGTAGACCCAGTGTCGATTTCCATTTCGCACGGTCTGCCTTCGATTTCCACTTTTGTGTAGACTTTTTCATCGTCGGTTGTGCTGGCTTGGCTGATTCTTGTGCTGTAGGTCTCTCGCTTTTGAGATTCGCGCCGTTTTCTCGTGCCGTCATCTTTGATTGGCTGTTTTGAACGAGCCGGTTCTGGTTGGTCGCGGTAGTCACGTGGCTTGCGACTACGCGGAAATTGAGCTCTGCAAACTCGTGCTAGGTGGCCTTTTCTATCGCAACGCCTGCAAATGGCGTCTCTGTATTTACACGATTGTCTCTCATGATCCCCACCACAGCTAGAACAGTTCTCGTGGTAGCGGCTTTGCTCGTTCTTTTTCTTTTCTGTATGGAAGACGTCATCGTCCGACTCTTCCTCTGTGCTGGTTCGCGTCTCCTCTCTGTGGACGGAGGCCATTTTCGGGCTGTCTTTGCTTGATAGTGGTCGCTGCAGCGCTTCAGAAGCCTTCGTTGATGATTCGTGTGCTCAGGCTTCATCCAGTGCGCTGGCTAGCGTTAGGTCTGGCTTGGCCAGAAGGCGCCTCTGTAACCGAGTGTCTCTAACACCGCAAATCAATTGCTCAAGTAGCGCGTCGTCTAAGTCTCTGTAATCACAATGCGTTGCGGCTTTTCGAAGTGCGGCCACATATGCGCTGACCGGTTCTCCTTCTTTTTGTACACGTTGCCGGAATTCGTAGCGCTGTACAAATTTAGAATGAACTGGAGCATAGTGGGCTCTCAGATTTGCTTGAAGGACGTCCCAGGAGACCGTCTGGACTGGGGTTGGCTCGCAGAGGGACTCGGCCATTTCAAAAACGTCTGGCCCGCAGTGGCTTAGGAACAGGGCTCTTTTCTGGTTCATGGAGAGCCCTTGCATTTCGCTTGCTTCCAGGGAGCACTCGAACCCGGTCAGATACGATCCCCACTTCTCTCGGGTCGGATCGAAAGGTTTGGGCGGGACGTAGGCAGACATCGCAGTATGTCTCCGTAGTCCACTCGTCACCCTGGCTGGAAGTCCGAGCTCTTTTAGTTTGCTTCTTGTGGCCTCAATCCCACCTTCGTCACCAATGTTGTAGCGCGGGAATAACGAGAGGCACAAGCAGGCTAGTGACAACAGCTCTTTAATTCAGGGTGAGACTTCAGCAAAGAAACACAGGCAACAGTCCTCTTTATATACTTTTCAGAAGCAACCAAGAACCAATCAGCATTCACTGAACATTTGAATTTCCCGCACAAAATAGATACATACATAACAGTTATAATGCCTCATACTGTCAAGCCAAAAGGTAATGACAGGCTCCATTTACCATCTCTCTTAAAATTGTGGTTATTAACAACACATATTAAAAATGTAACACCACAAAATTTAGAGCATGTTGAATACAGTTCTTTAAGCAGCTGAAAATCTTTGTCTTATTGAGACAAGAAAACATGCCAATTTTTTTTTGTAAAATATTCTGAATATTTGGATAAAAGTCAAGAAAAGTTCAAATTTATGTGTGATTCTTTTAGTTTTAGAATCATGCCACTATTATTAGAGAAAAATAATATTCAACATTTTGCTTAGGCCTAATTTATAAACAGTTTTAATTAGGTTTGACTTTTTGAACCTGCTCAATATGACTTCATACCAAATCAAAAGTATGATTGAAGAATCTGAAGCTTTGTGTACCTTGGAATTATGACTCAAAAATTCCAGAATAGGTGTTTGGCTTTTTTACTTTTATTTTGATGAAATTTCCCTGTTTGTATTTCAATCTAAAAAATGAAAGTTTGAGATAAATAGATGTAATTGCTGATTTTGTATCTTTATTTTTAGAAATAAAATATTAAGGAGAATACATAAAATATACTTGGCTTGAAACAATGTTGGTTCCCACAATAGCCAGCAATGTGCAGAAAGCATTTTTTTCCTGCTTTATCAGAAAATAAGGATTCAATTTTGAATTCCAGAAAAACTGGACTCTCTATGTTTTTAAATAAGCACCACATAAGAAAAACATGAACTCTGGGGAAAACAAGAAACCAATATATACTTATAAAATTCTGTGCCTGAATGAGACATAGAAAAAGTGAAATGTGTATAAAAATAAAGATTTATGAAACACGATCTGCAATGCTTAAATGCATAATTTTAAAAGTGTTAAGGAATTTTAGAAAGACTTCGTATTCGTAAAAACCTGTGAAGAATAGCACTTATTTTAGTTGGATGCATAATAACAATAAATAAAAAATAACATGTTGGCTATATTTTAAAAAAGTGAATTATAAGACTATAACGTTAGTCCACATCCTTTGAATCCTTTAAAGTTTGTTATCCTGAAGAGAGTAACAAAGAGTGAACTAAATTCTGAAGGCTCACTGCACTAAATGAAACCTGTACAATAAAACATTGAAAATGAAGGTGTAAAATATATCTAAAATCTATTTAAAAATATAAATCTTTTTTTGAATCATCTATGTGAAAAAATAACCTATATATACATAAAATCCTATTTGCACAAACCTTCAGGATCAAGGAGTTTCTCAATTCCCAGGTGTTGTTTAGCTATGTTGAACGCATGATCTAATCGCTGCACAGCGGACTGTTGATAAACCACATCGTCCCAATTGAAGAGATCTGACCTGGGGAAAAGAAGAAAGCACAACGTTACTTTCAGAATTACACACACACACGTGTATATATGCAGTGGTGGGATTCAGCCAGTTCCCACCACTTCAGGAGAACCGGTTGCTAACTTTCTGAGCAGTTTGGCAAACTGGTTGTTGGAAGAAATCATTAGGGCAGAGAACCGGTTGTTAAATTACTTGAATCCCACCACTGTATATATGTATATATATACACACACACACATACAGAGTCTCAAACATTTGAGAAATGAATCCCAAATGTTAAGAGAACTACAAATAACAAGAGTGGCATCTTCTACAGATAAATATTTTGTAAAAATTTATCTAATAAAAGTTAAATATCAAACAAAAACACAGATGATATCTATTAAATGTTTAGGTTTAAACAATTTAAAGGCAGGAAGAAATCCCATTTTAGAGAAACAATATGGAATTTTATACTGTTAATTATGCTGTTGTGGTATAAATTGTATTAATCTGTGACTATATTTTCACTAAGAATAATCCATTTGAATTTTCAAGGCTATGAAGAACTTTAATCATATTAAAGATGCATAAATCAGTCCACCGTGGAGCAATAAAATGCAGCATACAGAGAATAATCTTAGATTCAACAGATCCTTCTTCAATTGTTTTGCCTTATGGTATAGAAGCACAAGTGACGGAGATCAGAAACCTGAGTATGCCTTCTTTATTTCATCCAAGCATTTCCTTTTCCTTGATATAAGTTATATACTGTCCATTCTCTCTTTGTTTCCAGACACATATAGATAGAAGTCATGTGCCAAGACTGACAAAAATTCTTTTTATTTTTTTATTTTTATTATAACATATAGTGATACATTCAGTACATTTTCGGTTCATTGGTGCAATTATATACATATATACATCTACGTGCATTATTACTTGTCTTTTATTAAAGACAAGTCTTGTTTCTTAAAGCTAGATTTAATTTCAAAACACTTAAAGATAATAGTGCTCAAATCTCTAAGACTAAATGTAATACTAGTCATATGGATTTTGTTAATTAATTAATATTTAATCTCTATTTCCTTCTTTATTTCTTTTCCCCATCCATTCGTACCACATGTCCCACATGCTATAAAATTCTGAATCTTCTCTGTCATTAATTTCTGAAGTCAGTTTGTTCATTTCGGCGCACTCCAATATTTTTCCAATAACATGTTCTTGAGATGGTATTTGTTTTTCTTTCCAATACTGGGCAAAGGAAATTCTAGCGGCTGTCAGAATATGTATAATTAAATACTTTTTCTTTTTTGCATATTCAGTTTTCAAAATTCCCAGGAGAAAGGCTTTTGGTTCGAAATCAAAATTTTCTTTTATTATTTCTCTAATCCACATCCATATCATCCTCCAGAATTTTTGTGCCTGATTACATGTCCACCAGCAGTGATAGAAAGTACCCTGCTGATGGTCACATTTCCAACATTTAGGGCTCGAATTGGGGTAGATCTTCGCTATCCTAGCTGGGGCCATATGCCATCTATAAAACAGCTTGTATTGGTTTTCCTTGTAAGCCGTCGCCTTTGTCATTTTAAGATTATTATTCCATATTGAATCCCATTCGTTCAGATTTATATTCTGTCCTATATTTTTGGCCCATGCTAACATCGGTTCTTTAACTACTTCCTCTGCCATATCATACTCCAATAAGTAATTATATAATTTAGCTAGAATTTTGTCATCCGTACCCATCCATATCTTGTCAAATCCATTTATGCTCGTCTCAATGCCAAATTCCTCCTTATCTTTTTTATATCTGGATTTAATTTGGTTATATGGCCACCAGTCTATAGAAATACCTTGTTCCATCAATTCTTCCCTTGTTTTAAGATTCCCTCCCCCATCTAATAATTCATTGTATCTGACCGTTTTACCCATTTCTAATACATTTGGATATATTATAGCCTCCATGGTGGAAAGCCATCTCAGAATTTTCCTATAGTGCTTCTGTCTCATCTCTCCCCATATTTGTATCAAGATCTCCCTTATTTTATGCCTATGGAAATAAGTTTTTATCTTCTTCCCAGTATCCCAGAGATATGCATGCCAACCCTTCTGGAGATCATGCCCTTCTAAAGTTAACAGTCTTTTATTTCTCAGGGTTGCCCAATCTTTCAGCCATACTAGGTTTGCAGCTTTTTGATATAACTCCCATTTAGGTAATCCGAAACCCCCTCTTTCCTTCTTGTCCTGTAAATTCCTAATTGCTATTCTTGGTTTCTTTCCCTCCCAAATAAATTTTCTGATGATGCTATTGAGTTCCCAAAAAAATTTTTTATCTAATTTAACAGGGACCATTTGGAATAGATACAATAACTTGGGTAATATGCTCATTTTTATTGCCGCAATTCTACCTAATAATGATATCTGTAGTCTTCCCCACTTTTCTAGATCCTGTTTAATATTTCTAATCAATGGTAAATAATTATCCTCTCTGAGGGCCGAGCACCTTGATGAAATCCACACCCCCAGGTATTTTACCTTCTTGGCGGTTTGGATCTCCATTGATTCTTCCAGTACTTTTTTCCTTACCTCTGTCATATTTTTTGTTAGTAATTTAGTTTTGGATTTATTTAATTTAAGGCCTGCTATCTCCCCGTAATTGCCCAATTCTTCCAAAATTTTAGTGCCTGATTCTAATGGTTCTTCCATGATTAATACCACATCATCTGCGAATGCCTGTGTCTTATATATCTCTTTTCTGATTGTTAAACCCTTTATTTCATTATTGTTCCTAATCTTTCTCAAGAGTACTTCTAGTGCTAAAATAAATAAAAGTGGGGATAGAGGGCACCCTTGTCGGACCCCTTTTCTAATTTGGAAAGGCTTAGTTAATATGGATTAGTTAATCCATTCAATAATATGTTAGCCTTTTGTTTTTGATAGATTGTGGATATCGTATTGACAAAATTTGATCCGAATTCCATTTGGATAATTTGTTGTTTCATAAATTGCCAATTAAGATTGTCGAATGCCTTTTGGGCGTCGACAAAGACCAATGCCATTTCTTTGTTCGGGTGTTCCTCATAGTATTCTATGTCTATTATCATCCTTGTATTATTCCTGACAAAAATTCTGTGGAGAAACAGAGTGTGTCAAGACTCCGACTGATGAACCCAAGCAAATCAGAACTCTGAGACTGGAATCTTCCTCAAAGAACTTCTTTTTTGGGTACATCATATTGGCACAGTCAAGTGTAAAACCAACTCTAAATCTTTCCCACGGTTTCAGTATAATTAAAATAGGAAATATTCCTATTCCCCAAATGTCACAGGGCATGTTGGCCACTTAGGTTAATTGGCAGGTTCTCCAGGGACTCCTCCCCGACCTTATCCATCACCTGTAGAAATGACTTGGTTTCCATGAGAAAACTCTGTGTTGTGTCTAGCAAAGCATTCCATCCTCCTTCCCCCCTCCCTACACTGTGGCACCTGAGGAACAAGAAAATGGCCCCTGTCAGCTTCATTTTGAAGCTGACAGAGTGTTTATGCTGCTATGTCTGCAAAGTACTTACTGTCATTTTGTCCCAGGAATCTATACTGATTCAGTAATTCAGTCACAATACTAGGCAAGTGGTGCAGCCTTAACAGATTAACAGAGTTGGAAGGGACCTTGTAGGTCAGTGATGGTTAACCTTTTTGCCATAGCATGCCAGGAAGGGGGGTGGGGGGGTCACATGCACATGTGCCCACACCCATTATTCTATGTACGCTGCCCCTGCACAGCGCATATGACCCCCCACTCCCCCTGCCCCTGGCACGTGATGGCCTGGTAGGCCCATTTTTTGCTGTCCCCAGCCTCCGGAGCCTCTCTAGGAGTCTGGTGAGGGTGAAAATGGCCTTCCCCACCCCCCCCAAGGCCCTCCAGAGGCAGGAAACAGCCTGTTTCCCTACTTCTGGTGGCCCCAGAAGGCCCAAAAATCAGCTGGCCGGCACGCGCATGTCCAACCTCCCGCCCAAGCAGGAGACCCTACAGTAAGGTCTTTCATTAAGTGGTTTTTTTTCAAATCCATCATCAAGGACTACTGATGGGAAACTATTGAAGTAGATTAGGGTGAGTGTTTTATATATAATGGTGTCTTTTTGTTTAAAGGTATAAAGTTATGTGTGCATACATAAGAGAGAGAGAATCTGTTCTAGGGTTTTTTTTCAGTCCCAGTACATGATAAATGCCTAATAGGTTGTAAAACACAATGTTAGCAAATTAATTTTCAGCATGAATTGACTTATAAAGGTTTATGCTAGCATGTCAGGGATATTATAGGATTTATCAGTTAAGTTATATTTAATAACTCTTGGTTGTAGAAGAACACCTTCTGTAAAAATACTACAAAAAATTAACAGTTTCAAAGATATAAATGCTGATACACAGTGCAGGTAAAAATATGAATGAGTCAAATATAGCTGCCCAAGAAGTCTGATAGCGGCCTAACACTAAATCTCTCTGTTTTCTAAGTAAATGGGCATCAATGAAATGAACATAACAATTTTAATTGGACCAAGTTTTATTAGCAACACAAAAGTAACATGCAAGTCTGAAGTCCAGGTAGCAATATGCCAGCACAACTGCAAGAATACGTCTGAGAATTACAATGAGTAAAAAATGCACCTATATATCACTACAAGGATTATGTATATATTTATATAATAAAATGATTTCGGAAAAAGTAGTTCAATGCAACTGTCATTCATGGCAAGCATTTTTACAAATAGCAGTTCACATAAACTATACACTTAATCTGCATAATTATTTTTTTCTTTTTGAGATCAGTTGGCATTGTCTTCTTCAGAAAAATGGAATGAATAATCTTATTGCTGCATCTTTTTCAGAAACAGCTTTCTCCAGAGAATACCAGTAATGGAATTTAATACAAGTTGCAATCTGGATGGCTCCAATCCTAATGATGTTCAGGAAGTTATTAGAACTATCTATTCTGCCAAGTGCTGGAATACTGTTCTCCCACTGAATAG